GTTGTCCTCCCTTTTCCTGTCAGGCGGCAAGGTCGGGAGGAGTTGTCCCTGGTGGCATAATGCCTTCAAACTCGGCACCTCTGTGGTGCATCGGACTGAGTCTTTGTACAGGTCGTCTGTGAGTGACAGGAGCTGGTGTCCTCCCTGCGGTCGCTCGAGCTGAATGATCCGTGTTGGATCTGTTCCTCGGAAAAGTCGATCACGGCCTTCAGGGCCCTCAAAGTTTCTATTGAAAGCAGCATGGGTCCAGCCCCTTTGTCCAGCGTATGGACGGTCAAGACGCCGTCCTTTTGGTTGGCAACAATCTTCATCTTTGCGGCGCTCAAGCACTTGTCTTGGCTACTGTTGCCAAAGCCGAACAACGGCTGGTTGTCGGTGTCAACCTCGAGAACTCTTCCGTCCTTCCGCTTCTTCAAATTGTTGGCCATGATGGCCTCCATGGCATGTACAGATGCCTTCTTCGTCGCACCTCCGGCCAGAATTCCGTAGCCGGCGGCAATGGCCTCTGCTGTGGTCTTGCGACGTTGTGCGCTGGTGTCTTCTGTTGCCAATGCTTCTTCCGTGTAATGGCTGCTTTCTTCATCTTCTTCGAGGGCTGTCTGGTGGCCATCGTCATCATCCTCCCATGCTTCCAGGTAGCACACAAATGGTGCCTCCTCTTGCGCGTGGTTGGCTTGCTCTCTGTCTTCGGTGCTTGTCTGTCAGGGCATTGTGCTATCTTGTGTGGCCCCCCACACTTGAAGCATGTAATGCCTGTGTTCTGTGTGTTGTGGCTGGTGCGACTGTCTTTGTTCTGCTTGTCACCCACCCGGTAGCATTGTCGACTCAGCTTCACCTGATGTTGTTTTGCTCTTGCCTCCCGCAGTGTCCTCCGAGCTTTGTGCATTGCATTCATAGCTTCTTCTTCTGCCTCTATGGCGGCAGTCATCAGGGCAATCCCCTCTGCGTTCATTCCTTCAGCAATGAGGGCCGCGGATGTGAGGGGTTCTCCTTGTCTCTCATCATCTGTCACTTCTTGGGCCTCCATCCAATAGCTGGCGGTCTTGGGTGTCTGCTGATCTGTCCGGAGAAGATCGTTCTCAGGCCACTGTGTCCTGAGCTCTTGGGACATCCTCTGGACGGTGTACTCCTCACCGACCGCTGGATCATGTTGCGCTCCTGGGCACTCGATGATGCCACTGCCAGCTTGCCCATGGATCTGGTGCTGAGGCCTGTGAGGCTGATTGTTCCAGCCCTTCTTCTGAGCCTGGCTCTTCTCGCGTGGCTCCAGCCTGGGAAGTCATGCCATCTGGTGTAGCCGTCGTTGTCTGTCTGCCACTGGTGCCAAGTGTTCCAGCTGGTGTAGCGGAATGGCTGTTGGCTGATGATGCCTGGGGTGTTCGATGCTTCTTGTATTGTTGAACTCTCATCAAAGCCTGCTTGGCCCGGGCATATGTTTCCATCTTCCGTGTGACATAGTCGTTCATTGTTTCCATTTTCTTGCGTTCACTTCCACGGAAGTATTTGGTCAAGTGCTCTGTAAGCTCTGGGATTTGTGGTTTCCCAAGGCTCCTTCGGAGGTGTTGCATGAGGTGGTTCACACCATTGGCATGAGATAGCCAATCTGGTCGTTTTCCTACGATCAGCTTTCTTGCAGCACCTGACAGCTTGGCCACCAGCTTCGGGCCACTCAAGTACCTCTTGTGGTAGGGGATGGGCTCATTCCACATGAGGGCCATCCCTCGTACTCCTGGAAGCTGCGGGCATCTCCTGTCCATTGTGGGACGCCGTCCTTGGTCTTGGATACTGGCTCCATTGCTCCACTCCTATTTCAGAGGCGGCGGTGCAGCGTCTGAACTCCTGGATCTCCTTTTTTCACGCGAACCTGCCGGAGCAAGGCTCCGCTACCTTGCAAGTGGTAGCAATGGTAGCTCCTATGCTCAAAACGGTGTTCTCTGGAACCTCGAGGATGTAGTAATGGCGATGGCACAAGCGATCGATCGAAACTGGATCCTTAATCCCTTTTGAACCCAAACTGCCATGTCACGCACCTATTGCAGTGTCGGACATGAAACACTTTCACCGCCTACCTTAGTAGATATTATACAATTTACGTTTCATCTATAACTATATTGCAGTGGCCTCAGGTGGAATCTTGGCCCCCAGTAGCCGACGCACACACTGGTGTCACCTAGATGTTCACATGGTAACCAACTGCATGTCTCATACCATGAATTCTTCCTTACAAATCCTGTGTGGACGTCGTTTTACGGAAGCACGACAAGTATAGACATAGTGTCGGGGAGTCTCTGCCATATACAAGGGCTAGTCGCGAGCTGAACGGCCAGAGCACACGAAAACATGCGCAGTGCCTGCTACGTGTCACCTCGTGCTACTTTGTTGCATGTTTCTGTAGGAGAGGCGATTTGAAAATGAGCAGCATAGTGGTTCTTAACTACATCTAGAGCGAAGCACATGTCACCCTCAGAGCGCCTGTGCCAACAGACTGTGCATTTTCCGTGGCTGACCTTTCGGTGCTCACAGTGACATTGCAGAAGTCTCCATACAACTTGGGCCAACTACCACAATATCAACTCAACAGCAATGAAGAATATACTTGCAAGAAGTTTGAACGCGCCCCACAAGCTTTTGCAATATTCATTTCCCACATAAACCTTTACAAGGCAAACCGAGCCTTCTTATAGCTATGCATGTGCTATTTACCAATTTACAGCCCACTAGCTCGTAGGTCTCCCTCTTTGCCCAGCCATCATGCCAGGGAACCTTGGCATTGTTGAGGATGACTTCTTCAGCGTCACCCATGATGACCAGAGACAGGTGTGCCTCTGTTGGTCCTATGGAAGCAGGACATACCATGACGACCAGCCAGAGCTCATCCATGCAAGATGGCCAAACCAGTCCATAGCAAACAGATACTGGGTTGCCCATGGAGAAACATCGCAGTTTTGGCGAGTGGTCCAGTGGTCCAGTGGATGGCGCGACTGGGTGAGGAACAACCGCCGCAACTTCACAGATGCCTACACCATCCAGATCTGCTTCGGGCGGACGCGCTAGACCCAACCAACTGTGTGTCTCATACCGTGACTTCTTCCTGATAAATTCTGTGTGGACGTCGTTCTGCGGAAGCACAACGCTATCCTTGCTGTGTACAAAGACTAGTCGCGAGCCGAACAGCGAGAGTGCGCTAAAACATCTACAGTGCCTGCTGTGTGTCACCTCACGCTATTTTTCTCTGAGACAGTCAATTACTCAATGACAAGCATAGTGGTTGGTTAACTACCAAAATATCTACTCAACAGCAGTGACGAATATACTTGGAAGAAGTTTCACGCAACCCACAAGCTTTTGCAATATTCATATCGCACATGAACCAGAGCCTTCTTATGCCTATGCATGCGCTATTTACTACTTTGCAGCCCACTAGCTCGTAGGTCTTCCTCTTTGCCCAGCCATCATGCCAGGGCACCTTGGCATTGTTGACGACCACTTCTTCAGCGTCAACCAGGATGACCAGAGGCAGATGATTCACACGTTATTGTTCAGTCTGCAGTGCAGCATGTGGTGATGCAATTGTTGAGATGGCAAAGACAGCACGCTGGCTAGCATCATAGTTGAAGTGGGTAAGCCAGCACGCTGGCTGCCATTGTCCAGATGGCAAAGCCAGCACGCTGGCTGCCATCATAGTTGAAGTGGGTA